ACAAACAAACAAACAAAAAGTAAACTAAACACAAATGTTTTATTTTCCAAAGGTCATTTTGAAGGTATTTGATATGTATTTCAAATGTTGCTGTTTAAGTTCACTGTCAAAGTGTTTCTAATGTGTTCCAAAGGCTAAAAGATCAAAAGTAAGAATAAAAATCAACATACTAGCGTGTTTGGGAATATAGTAGCCGATGGCTTAGCGAATCGACAAGACTTATTTATTTTTCTTTTTAATATTGTGGTACTAAAAAAGTAAAAATATTATGATTACTGAACGTTTGCCTGTTCTTTGAAAACTATATCACCTAAGGAAAAGACGAGCGATTCTTCTACCAAACGTTATTCAACAATCGAGATATAAAAGAATGGAAATTCCTTTTTTCTAATAACAGCTTGTGTCGTTAGGTGTGTTCTTAAGCTAATGACACTTAATCCGTAGCTGTTATTGCTTGAGAATACACGTAGTGGCCAGGCGTTGTCAGCTCTCAAGCCGATGATAACCAGTATTCAACGTCTACTTGATCATCACCTGTGTTAAACATAATCTTCTGTTCATCCAAGTGTGTCAACATCTACTTAAGGGGTGGCTGAAATTCTTGAGGCTTCATGTACTAAACAAAGAAATTTTGGCTTCGATTCCAAATAAATATTTTGAAGAAGCAGGTAATTAATTATCTTTAGGTAAAACTGAGATTATTGAAATGAATATTAATTTAACCAATAATGATTTATTATTTGTAACTTACTCTGTTAGGTATAAATCTCATGAAGGATAGTAAATATCTTGTTACTGTTCACGAAAAGATGATTTGTTACATTATAACTATAAGTTATTATGTATAATAAAAAAGAACACTGAAATAACTTTTTATTTATTTAATTTATAAACATAATTTGATCTCTAAGTAGGTTTCTACTGAATAACAGACCTGTTAAACACGACAAGACTTAATGCAGATAACTGTTGGAGTTGTTGACCATAGACAGAAACTTGTCGGGAAATAATAGAAGCGTGCGAGCAAAGGATGAAGTTCGTATACCAAATATTTTAAATTCTTAGACAGGCTAATAAGTATACAAATGAAAATATAATATCATTACCTGCACTATGTAAATGAGTTCCATTTATACAACATCAACAGTTTGGTTGAAGACCAAATATGGTTTTCAACAATATTTTTTATGTGAATTAGTTTTAATGAATTTCTTTATAATATTTTGACAACATATATTTTAGTTAACAATATGCTCCCAAACATCAGAATATAAGTAATGTAATATTGTAAAGTTTATAAGTATGGGTAATGTAGTCGATGTTTAAGACAGAGTCTTTGCTTCTTACAGTTTCTGGAATGTAAAAGGACTTGAAAAGTATTAGTATCATCAAAATGAATGACGCCTTATGCTCACGTGGGTCAATCGGACAGGTCAGATGGCTCACATATAACTGTCCCTAATTCGTACCTCCTGCCAAGTGAAGGGAGGAAAGCCGGTCAGAAACAATAGCATTGTCCGTCTCTTTGAATCGAATAACAGTATTGACTATCAGCTTTATGATACCCCCAACATCGAAAGTGTAGTGAATGTTCAAAGCTATCGCGGCTCGAGCCTTAGCTTCCATAGTAACTATCAGCTATCCTATTAGCAACCTAGCATAACAAACCCTATGGCCACACCTAATGCTACTTGAAATGAAATCATTTTCTTGATATTGTTTAGCTACTTTAATGTATTAAGTTTCACACTACATTCTATGTATAATTACATAAAATTGACTGTGGAAACTTGAATGATCACATATACTTAATATTTTCACCCCATTTGCTGCCTACAGACCTTAGAATCCTTACGGAAAATTGTAAATCAATTTTTTGTTGAAAGATTCCCACTAAATGTTGAGTAAATTCCTCACATCTTGTTGGGGAGTCACAGAACTAATTGTAAATTTAGTGGTTTCCAGGTAAATTTTGTGTAAGTTTCCCAAAAGTTGTTGGAAAGAGATTAATTTAATTATATATTTAGTGGTTTCCCACTAAATCTTGTTGCAAAGCCATGAAATTGACCGTACGTTTAGAGGTTTCCCGCTAAATGTTGTGTGTGCACCTTTCTTAAACATTGTTGTGGATACTTGAAATTAAGCGTAGTTCAGTGTTTCCACTAAATGTGCATATATTTCACTCACGTTGTTGAGATGGCTTAAAATTGATTATACGTTTATCGGTTTTGTGCACATTTTTGTAGAATGTGTGAAAGCCATGGACATAACCGTACGTTGAGTGGTTTTCCCCTAACTATTGTGTACATTTCTCACTGGTTGGAGAGGCTTGAAACTGATCGTACGTTTAATAATTTCCAACTAAGTGTTATGTACATTTCTGTCACGTTGTTGAGAAACCAAAGAATTAATCGTGTGCTTAGTGGTTTCACACCAAACTTCTCATGTGTTGTGTGGAAGCTATGGAATGACTCATACTTCAGTGGTTTCTCATTAAATGTTTTGTACATTTCTCGCTCGTTGTTGGAGAGACTTAAAATTAATCGTACGTTTAATGTTTAAATGTTGTGTGCATTTCTCATACATCGTTAGTGAGACTTGATATTAATTACAGTTTAGTGGTTTCCCACCAAATGTTTTGTTCAGTTAGTATCAGCTTTCCGGAAGTTCAGAAATTAATTGTATGCTTAGTGGTTTTGAACTATATGTTTTGCAGTTACTTTGAGTATTGAGGTCAACTAATTTACAGTTCCCTTGAGGATTGAGGTCAACTAATTTCCGTTTTGGGATGCTCTGTGTGGGTTTGTCTCTTTTGGGATCCAGATCGTGAAATTAATAATTTTCTTAGTAGAATCACGTTACAGGAATTGTATATTAAATCGAACGTCCTGTGCTTTGAAACCTTTAAATAATTTATAATGAGGACAATATATTTTGCATTATTTGGCCATCTGTGCAAAGCATTGAAAGCGATTTCAGAAAAATATTTTTTAAAAAAGCACAACAGTAATTATAATCCATAGGAATCAAGTATTTGACAAGCAAAACCTAACTTTTAAGGTTGTCGAAACTTTATTTTGTTTTTGTTGTTTAGACTATCTAAGCAGCTGGACTGGGTGTAAACGTTAAGTAATGCTTTCCTGATTGTTTAATTTGGGCTTCTTTTGAAGAATTAGAAGAGTCTTCTTCACCGCCCGGCATGGCCAGGTGGTTACGGCACTCGACTCGCAATCTGAGGGTCGCGGGTTCGAATCCCCGTCACACCAAACATGCTCGCCCTTTCAGCCGTGGGAGCGTTATAATGTGACGGTCAATCCCACTATTCGTTGGTAAAAGAGTAGCCCAATAGTTGGCGGTGGGTGGTGATGCCTAGCTGCCTTCCCTCTAAATTAGGGACGGCTAGCGCAGATAGCCCTCGTGTAGCTTTGCGCGAAATTCAAAAACAAACAAACAAACAATCTTCTTCACCAGTTGCATAGTTTCGTTTTTGGCTTTACCGATGACTTTGAACACAATTGGTGTTAGGACCACATCACATTCACTTAGTGTTTGCTGGACAATGCTTGAAACGTAGATTAAAGTGTTCCTTTAAACCAGGGGTGCGAAATGAGGGCCCAGGGCATGCTCGGAAGAGTCCATTTTCCCTCAAATGTCGCCAAGAGGAAATGACTAATACATTCTTTTTAGGGGAGGGGTGCGAGGGCCACAAAAGGTTGGGAACCACTGCAGTTTAAACTATCTCATCGTGTGTTAAGACCTGAACTGTCACTTTAAACTATCTCAACGTGTGTTTAGATCTGAACTTTCACTAGTTTAAACTATCTCATCGTGTGTTTAGACCTGAACTTTCACTTTAAGCTATCTCAACGTGTGTTTATATCTGAACTTTCACTTTAAGCTATCTCAACGTGTGTTTAGATCTGAACTTTCCCTAGTTTAAACTATCTCATC